GCACTCTCTCCGACTCGATCACATTCAAGAATGTTGATCCGACGCATTGTGCTGACCAAATCCCTCCACCATTTTCGTTTCTTCAGCCACTACGCAGAAACTATTCATGCCGTTGTACGTGTCACTTCGGGCAAGAACAAGAACATCGCCGCCAAGGAGAGGAAAGCTGGGCGGGTACCCAGCATAGTGTTTGAACAAGAGGATGGCCAACGCGGTGGTAACAAAAGACTCATCTCTGTTCAGGCTAATCAGATTAGGAAGCTTGTTAACCATCTCGGTCGCTCCCATTTCTTATCCAGGTTGTTTGATCTTGAGGTTCACCCTGACTTTGAATCTACTGACGTTATTGAGAAAGTTCGAGTTCTGCCCAGAAAGGTATTTTCCCTCTATTTATTAGATTTTGTTAATTTGAATTGATATGAAGATAGATACTGGCTTTTAATTCATTTATACTTAGGAGCTGTAGCTAAGGAAACAGAGCTTTAGATGGATTTTAGTAGCGCGATTTATCTATTTCAATGTTCAGGTTCATCTGGAAGCTGGTTCAGATGCGCCTCTTAATGTTACCTTTATAAGAGCTCCATCAAGTGCTTTACTAAAGGTTGAGGATCCTCTTGTATTTAGAGGAGAGGATGTGTCCCCCGGTTTGAAGAAAGGTTAGTAATTGATACATCTGCCTTTTCTTGAATTTATTAAATGCTAATATTATATGGTTATGATGGATGTAGAAGTTTCTCAATGTAGAGCACCCAAGGGTGTAGTCTAGCTGTTGTAATTGGAATGAGCCATGGGAGGCTAAGGTTCAAATCCTGAATTAAATGAAACATGCCTGGTGATTTCTTGCTATTTGTCCAAGTCTTGGTGACAACCCTGCTGGTGTGCCATTAATCAGCACCGACAGTCTTACCCTCTAGATGGAATGTGTTATCTGTTGAAACCATCTTTGATCAGTTCCTATCATTTTAGTGTTCAGGAATCAGGAGGAGGTTCCAGTTAGCACAATCTTAGGCCTTCACTATGTCAAGTTTTCTTAGACCTCCAGGTTTGACGATCAAGGCACTCACTTGATGTTACTTCAAATCAATGCAACTATTACCCTCTTTATTCTTTCAGCAAGTGATTTTGAAATCATTTACTAACTAACGAACGGATCGGCTTGGAATCTCTTAATTCACTTCTCCCTTTCGTTAAGCACAGTGAAGCTCTTCTAAAATCTTCCTTCCGGATAGAATTGGTATAAGTTTAGAGCATCCCATTTCTAAAGATGTGTCAAAAAAATTGGTGAAGAACTGTAGTAAAGCCATCGGGCTAGGATGTTGATGTCCAGCACTATCATTTATGGTTCAGTCATTTCTTCCACTCTGGAAAAGACCTGATGCAGCCATCTTCTGTCATCTTCTAATAATATAGTTAGGTCCCACTCATTCCACCTCTGTGTTTTGGACGGCAAAAGGCGACAAGGGCCTGGCGAGGCGCTCACCTTTTTGAATTAAGGTGTCAATTAATACCAAAATTTTAAAATTTTAATTGCATATATAAATATCCAAAATCTTAATAGAAATAACGTATATTAGCAAATATTTCAATTCAAAAACTAATAGTAGATACTAAAAGTCTAGAACTTGAATTCACAATTCACTATTAAATAAATTATATGAAAAGAATAAATACATTTCGTTTCGTGATTGTGAACGAATGTTATTGCAGCGTGATTGGTAAAAACTTAAATGATTAGTCCATAGGTCACGAGTTTGAGTCTAGGTTAGGTCCCCCCATTTTAGTTATTTTTAAAAGAACAACTCTCTTTGTAGGTATGAGGATTTCAATAATTTAAATTTTGTATTTTTTTGGTAAAAAAGAGTGTAAAAGTTAATATTTGGATCTTTTTTACAACCAATGATGACATTTTTTTAGTATAAGTCAAGTCACATTATGATGAAAATAAACATAAATGATATATTATTCTATAAGTGATGTTCCTTCAGAAATACAAGTCAATTGAATGTGATGAATATAATCGTGACCAAGATATAATTGGGTATATATCGTAATACGATGAGTTATGCTATATCTCAACATTTGCTCAATTTATTTTCACATTTTAGGGGTGATTAGACTATAATTATTTATAATATCTTATTTATAAGTTGCCTAGTTATATTCATTAAATGACTGATATGAAAAGATTAAATAAATTTCGTTTCGTGATTATGAACAAATGTTATTGCAGCGCGAATGGTTAAAGCTTAAACGATTAGTTCATAGATACGAGTTCAAGTCTAGGTTTGGTCTCCCATTTTAGTTATTTTTGTGTGGGAATTTCAAACATCTGATTTTGATGAACTTCAAAAAATTTCTGATCACTGCACTATTGTTTTTCAAACGTGTGGTCTTGCTATTTCATTTTAACAAACAATCAACTACAACACAAAATTGTTGAATTAGTAATAAGAAAGAAAGTGAAAGTAGAATAAAATTAGTTCATAATAAAGAAGCAAGAACATAATTAAGAAGTAAAAATATTATGCACATAATTACAAAGCCAAATTACAAGCACATAAATTGGTCTTAAAAAGACATTAGAAGTAACAATTTATGCACATAATTTAGCCCCAAACAAGTTACAAAAAAGAAAGCTAAATTAGAATTCAAACTTCGGCAAAAGAGCAAAGACATGATCAACCTCATCAGCACAACCACATTCATAACAAGGTTGATCATCCTGTTCATCGTCACTATCAACAGGCCATCCATTCACATGTACAATATTCTCGTGTTCACCAGTGCAACAAGGGTCTGGTCTTTGCGTCAAAAATATCGGATTACTAACCCAAACATTATCTATCATATAGATTAAACTCTTTCTCCATTGCTTTATTTCTTTTCTTTGAGGGAGTTTTTCCTTCATCTGGCCAATGAATCTGACCGCGGCTCGACTGTCGCCGCCGCCCGCGAAAATGGAAATAATGGCAAGCACATATGCTGCACCATTGTGTCTTCCTTTTTTTGCTTCCCGAAGCCTTTGCAATGCAAGCTCCGGGCAATTATTTAAAAAAAATAATCCATTTTTCAATTAATTAACGGCTAAGCGATTTCATAACCTGAGCTTTCCTAGATTATTAATGCGTGCATTCCATTATCGTGGAAATATTCCCCCATGGCACACCCAGAATATGGGGCCAAAAATTGTAGAGGAGCAGGATCTGTAGCGGTCGCTGCTACAAGCTATCGACCTTATCTCCGTTAGTTTTTCAAGATCAGTGAACCCAGATGTTTGACAAAAGCAACACAGAAACATTATTGAAACTATCTTAATACATAATCATCTTTAAATTTGTGAGTAAAATATTGAAAATAGCAAGCTGAAAAAGAAAAAAAATTACCGTCCCTATTTTGTACAATGCCTCGCTATTGCCAGCCTTCATATACCGATTCACAAAACAAACCCTCATATCTATTTGGTCTCTTGTCCTCACAGACCATGAGAATAGTGGAAAGTCCGCAAATGATACCTTTTCGGAATAGTTGGTAGTGAAGAAAGCGTTTACGAAAAGGTATCATTTGCGGACTTCCCACTATTCTCATGGTTTGTGAGGACAAGAGATCAAATAGATAAGAGGGCATGTTTTGTGAATCGGGGACGGCAATAGAGAGACATTGTACAAAATAGGGACGGTAATTTTTTTTTCTTAATTTTCAGCTTGCAATTTTCAGTTTGATTTTTTACTCACAAATTTAAATATGGTTATGTATTAAGATGGTTTCAATAATGTTTCTTTTGTTAAGACGTTTTTTTAAAAAATAATTGCCTGGAGCTTGCTTTGGGAAGCAAAAAAAGGACACATTGACGCAACATGTGTGCTTGCCATTATTTTCATTTTCGCGGGCGGCAGCGATAGTCGAGCCGCGGTCAGATTCATTGGCCACATGAAGGAAAAACTCCCTCAAAGAAAAGAAATAAAGCAATGGAGGGAGAGTCTAATCTATATGATAGATAATGTTTGAGTTAGTAATCCGATATTTTTGACGCAAACACCAGATCCTTGTTGCACTGGTGAACACAAGAGTATTGTTCAGGTGAATGAATGGCATGCTAATAGTGACGACGATCAACCTTGTTATGGATGTGGTTGTGATGATGAGGTTGATCATGTCTTTGTTATTTTGCCAAATTTTGGATTCTAATTTAGCTTCTTTTTTTGTAACTTTTGTTTGGGGCTAAATTATGTGCATAAATTGCTACTTTCAATGTCTTTTTAAGACCAATTTATGTGCTTGTAATTATGAGCATAATATTTTTGCTTCTCAATTATGAACTAATTTTATTCTATTTTCACTTTCTTTCTTATTACTTATTCAACAAATCTGTGTTGTAGTGGATATAGCAAGACCACACGTTTGAAAAACAATAAAAAATTTGAAGTTCATCAAAATCAGATGTTTGAAATTCCCACCCCTACAAAAAGAGTAATTTAAAAAAAATTACTTTCTTTCTTATTACTTATTCAACAAATCTGTGTTGTAGTGGATATAGCAAGACCACACGTTTGAAAAACAATAAAATTTTTGAAGTTCATCAAAATCAGATGTTTGAAATTCCCAGCCCTACAAAAAGAGTAGTTTTAAAAAAAATTACTTTCTTTCTTATTACTTATTCAACAAATCTGTGTTGTAGTGGATATAGCAAGACCACACGTTTGAAAAACAATAATTTTTTTTGAAGTTCATCAAAATCAGATGTTTGAAATTCCCACACCTACAAAAAGAGTAATTTTAAAAAAATAACTAAAATGGGGACTTAACCTAGACTCGAACTCGTGACCTATGAATTAATCGCTTAAGCTTTAACCATTCGCGCTGCAATACCATTCGTTCATAATCACGAAATTTATTTATTCTTTTCATATCAGTTATTTAATGAATATAACTAGGCAATTTTTAAATAAGATATTATAAATAAATATAGTCTAATCACCCCTAAAATGTGAAAATAAATTGAACGAAGGTTGAGATATAACATAACTCATCGTACTACGATATATACTCAATTATATCTTGGTCACGATTATATTCATCACATTCAATTGACTTGTATTTCTAAAGAAACATCACTCATAGAATAATATATCATTTACGTTTATTTTCATCATAACGTGACTTGACTTATACTAAAGAAATGTCATCATTGGTTGTAAAAAGGATCCAAATATTAATTTTTACACTCTTTTTTACCAGAAAATTACAAAATTTAAATTATTGAAATCCCCACCTACAAAGAGAGTTGTTTTTTAAAAAATAACTAAAATGGGGGGACCTAACCTAAACTCGAACTCATGACCTATGGGGACTAATCATTCGCGCTGCAATAGCATTCGTTCATAATCACGAAATGTATTTATTCTTTTTATATCAGTTATTTAATAGTGCATTCAAATTCTAGACTTTTAGTATCTACTACATTAGTTTTTGAATTGAAATATATGTTTAATAGCAATAACATAATCCTTGTTGAATGATGAAAGGAAAAACGGATAACATGTGAGATGATATCTATTTGCTTGCGCTTTTGTTTTTCTTTATTTATTTTTAATAATCCCCAGACCCCACTTAGTTGGACTTCACTAGATTTGTTGTTATATTTTTAATAATTATTGGTTAACCAATTTGGTAGGTTCATATTTGAATATCATCAAGAGAACGGTAAAGTTTCTATGCCCAGCGGATGTCATCCCTCCCTACATTGATGTAGATTTGAGTGAGTTGGATGTTAACCAAAAGTTGTTAATGGGTGATGTGAGGGTTCATCCAGCTTTGAAACTTATCCAACCAGAGGATCACCCTGTTGTCAAGATTGCCGGAGCAAGAGTTTCTGATCAAAATGATTTTTACTGAAACTCTTAGAAAGCTTATTATGAAAGAGAGGATTAATTCAACAGCGTGGGACATTGTCAGCTGATGTTATTTACTGCATGACCTTGTTCATCTGTGTTAGTTAAAATAGGATGATTGGGTGATAGTATCTCAATTTTGTATATCAAATAGCCAATGCCCCAATAATTTTTCTGTTCTGGTCGGTGATATGTCAAATCATGACAGACGCCAGAGCCCAACTTCAGACCCGAATTTCTGAAGCAGCAGCAACTTGATTACTTTTATATTTTAAAAAATAGGGGGTGCCACAAACAGCTACCTTGTCATTTTTATGTTTGGAACCTTATATTTGATTTAACTTTATACTTGGTTTTATATGGAGTGAGTTACTCAGGTACTTAATTATGTGAAATTACTTACTTAAGAATTTAATTTCTCTTAAGAGATAGATTACTTCAGCTTATCACGTGTTTACGGATGCAGCAGTTTGTGTCTATATTGGTTAACTTTGTTTTTGGAGTCTCCCAAATGGATCGACTTGAATACCATGTATTTATATGAAAGTACTATGAAAAGGAATGGCTAAGTCGGAATATTATTAAACTGAAACAAACAATACATTAAAATGGATGACAATACAATTTCATTTAGACTGGCGGAACTTTCTCTCGTCTGAAAGTGTCTTTGCGAACCTGCAACAATTGAAAATGAGGCAATGATCAGTACTATTTCCTCAGCAGTTTATATATAATGATGAATGTTCAACGTGTATAAATGTGATAGACAAGTGTACGCACCTTCGAAGAGCTTCCTTGTTGGTTCCTCCGTTCTCAACTGCTTCATAAACTCCTTTGTCTAAGTTTATCTTGGAAGCTGGTTTGTCCAGCAACCGTTCTCCTACCTTAACGAGGCCTTCTAAGTTTTCCTTTGTCGCTATATCAACTGAGGCCAAGTTCCCTGTCAAAGTGTCATCCTGGTCGTATCAATCAGCAGACGAGATTTATTAGTAATCTGAAAAATAAGGCAACTAAATTGTTATAACATGACAGTTCCGTGTGATAGATAGATATATACCTGGATTCGGAGGTATTGATCATCCGATTGAAGAGCTTTGAAAACCACAAAGTTGTGATAATCAACCATATCAGCGCTTGCTTGATTAAAAGCTTCAATGATTGGTGTGGAGTTGTCATGAGTTAGCCAGCTAAGTAATCCCCATTTCGCAGCCATTTTAGCATTGTATTTTCCCTCGTTCTTTGCATTGCCTGTCCCCAGTGAGATCACTAGAAAACGACCATATTCCATGGGCTTGATAGGAAATAAGTCTTCATGCTTCATCAGTACTTGCTTTGTCACCTCACCAATTGCGATCAATGTCTAAAATATCCATCATACATATAAATATATAATTATTACCGGATTTTCTACTCTGATATCATTCAAGAATTTTATCTGTACTATATATTTACCGGGTTATTAGCAGCCACACCACCATCAATTAGGTTGAATTCATGTTCATTATTTTGAGCATCCTTGGTCTTGAAACTATGGGCAGGTAGAAACGTTGGCGCTGCCGAGGTACTAATGCAAATGTCCGCCAATTCCGCATCCGAAACAGGTTTTGATTTTGTCTACAAATTAATTTCAAGTGGTTAATTTCACTTTTTTTTTTCTTTTTTTTTTTTATGATTTACAGGGGTATAGAAGACACACCTCATATGAGCTAAAGATGACAGGCTGAAGTTCCTTGATGTCAAAAGTTGGAATTACGACGGCAGTTAAGGTATCATGCAACCTGGTACCTCCTAGTAGTCCCTTTATAAGTGTGTGAAGATACTTCCCATCATATTTTGGTCCGTTCAACATTTTCGTTAGATTTATCACCCCACCAAATGGTCCACTGCAAAAATTAATCAACAGTGTATTTGAAGGGTGTGGTCTAACGGTTAATATATCCAAAAAGAAAAAAAAAATCAAAGAATTATATATATAAACTTAGGTAGCATAGTTTACCCGGTCTGGTGAAATATTTTGGGGGAGTGCTCAAGATAGAAAGGAGTAATATCTTTGGCAGCATAAAGAGGGCGTTTAGCTTTGTTCGGTGCAGCTAACATGGCTGTTACAAGGCCACCCGTGCTTGTTCCTGCTATCAAGTCAAAATAATCCGCGATTCTTGCATCTTCACCATCCAATTCCTGCAAGCAAAACCGATATATTCAGTGAGTGATAGATCTAAGATTCAAAGTTGATCATGAATTCAACTTTTAACATATAATTAATGTACTCTTGAACATATATATATATACTCAATTACCTGAAGTTGTGATTCAAGGTATGCAAGGATAACCCCGGGAATGATTCCTCTAATTCCTCCTCCATCGATGGAAAGAATGGTTATTAGCTTCCCTGTGGTGGGAGGCGGCATTGCTACTCGACCTGCAGCTTTGTTTTCCATCGTAATATCCAAAAGATGTAAAATAGGATAGATATAGAGAGCGACTCAACAATTAGTTCATTTCATATGCTAATCATGATTCGAATAAATAGACACAAGGTCTTAAATGGTGATAATTATCATAAAAAAGAAGAAGAGATAAATATTAAAAGTTACGTGTTTTTGTCTATGATTATTACAACTAGGATATATAAACTAATCTTTGAAGAGTTCATGGACAAATTTCAACTGAGTCTTCTTCGACGACAGTTCCACCATCCAATCAAATAAGATGGCTGAATTATGTCTTGAGTTTAAGTTAATTAATAAATGGGGTAAGCAATACTCTCTCTTTGTTCAATTTGTTCGACTTAATTTGAAGTACGAGGATCAAAATAACTAAAGTTTGGTGTGAATATGAATAGAAATATTTAACTTTTTGAATATAATTTACATATTTAAAAACATATAAAAAGTATTGTAAGTTAAAATAGTTAACAAGTCACAATATTTAGAAGGTATTTGAAAAAATTATTGTAAGAAAAATATTCTCTAAATGATAATTAAGACAAAGAAACGGAATTAAAGATTAGATAAGATGGAGTAATAGTTAAGAACTAGTAATAATATTTTTTATAGTTTCTTCAGCGTCTTGTCCAAGTAATTGTACCAGCATCTAATAATTCAAATTTATTTAATTACAAGTCCTGCAAGATTAATTGTTGGACATGTGTTGGTTTCAGTTAACAAATGCACGATTTCACACGTTTATCCCGCTTACCTTCTTTGAAGCATAGAACCATGTGAGGCATAAAAAAAAAAAACTTCATTTAAGGTAATTTTTATAAGATGAGCTTAATTCATGCATGTTCTTTGACCTTTAAGATTCGTTAGAGTTTTTTATGGTAATTACTTAATGTTAAATCCTAGCTCACACCTATTGAAAATGCATCTCAAGCTAATATTCCATACTCTTAGGTATTGATAAAAAGAGCAAAAATATCTGATATTGTCTTTATTAAAGTCAAAGTGATCTAGATTCTAATCCTAGAGGCATTCTTCGTCAAGATCAACTTGAAATACAGGTCTGCATCATCAGCCATCTAGATCAGGAATATTTTTTTATTAGCAATAATATTTTATACTACTTGATAACAGCTTCACAGATGGTCTGAAAAAATTCATGGAGGTATTAAATTTTGAGGTAAGTTATGATTACATATTTTTAGAGAATGGCACCGCGTAAAAAATATTATTTAAAAAAATTGTGGGGTGGCCCGTGGCCAGGTGGGGTAGGGCGGATTAAAGTCTTTACGGACTTATCCGTTCCTGCGTTAAGGTTTCCCAAAGGGGGTGTGCTCTACCCATTGTCATAAGGTATTTACTTGAGCGCTTATATGAGAAAGAAAAAAATAACATTGTTAAATTCCTTCTCATAATCATGTTGTCTGACTTCTTTTTTGTCTCTTCACTTCTATACAGATAGTAACGGAGCAAGGGAGGGGGACTTAAATCCGCGAAGATTTCAATCTGCCCCATCCCACGTAACAAAAATTGTATTTTAAACCGCGCGTAAATCAGAACTTGCCCCACTATTCTTTTTTTTTTTTGTTTTTTGAATGTAAACATAGGGTGTCATATAAAACTAATTGATGAACTAACTATATACTTATAAATTAAACAGGACCAAATAAATCATAAAAGTGGGAAATTTTAGGGAGATGTTGCTGGTATGCTACAAAAGGTATGCAGCTTTAATTCCACCAACATTATAAAGACATAAAAATAAAGGGAAAGAAGGAACGTTATTAAACTGAAGCACACAATTAATACATTCACGCTGTAGCAACAAAGTGGATGACTATCGATCATTTAGACCAACCGGTTACTGGCCGGCATTAGCCTGGCGGAATTTTCTCTCATCCGAAAGTTTCTTTGCAAACCTGCAACATTTTAAAACGAGAGAATGATCAGTACTCGTTAATATAATAATGAAAATTCGATAGACAAATCATGTACCTCCGTAGAGCTTCCTTGTTGGTTCCTCCATTTTCAACTGCTTCATAAACTCCTTTGTCTAAATTAATCTTGGAAGTTGGTTTGTCCAGTAACTCTTCTCCTACCTTGATGAGGCCTTCTAAGTTTTCCTTAGTCGATATGTCAACTGAGGCCAAGTTCCCCGTCAAAGTGTCATCCTGGTCATATCAAATAAATGTACGATTGATCATTGATAGGTTAAATAAATAAAGTTATACATATACTGCATGTAGATATAATTGAAGGTCGAGGTACACCTGGATTCGGAGGTATTTATCGTCTGAGTGAAGAGCTTTGAAAACCACAAAGTTGTGATAGTCAACCATATCAGCGCTTGCTTGATTAAAAGCTTCTATGATTGGTGTGGAGTTGTCATGAGTTAACCAGCTAAGTAATCCCCATTTCGCAGCCATTTTAGCATTGTATTTTTCCTCATTTTTTGCATTGCCTGTACCCAGTGAGATCACTAGAAAACGACCATAATCCATAGGCTTGATAGGGAATAAGTCTCCATGCTTCATCAATGTTTGCTTCGTCACCTCACCAATTGCGATCAATGTCTAAAATATATATTCATGATCACATACATAAAAAAAAGTGATCAATCATTATCAAGTAGTGGTATTTTGTCTATTTACCGGGTTATTAGCAGCCACGCCACCATCAATTAGGTTGAATTCACGGTCTTTATTTTGAGCATCCTGGGTCTTGAAACAATAGGCAGGTAGAAATGTTGGCGCTGCAGAGGTACTAATGCAAATGTCCGCCAGTTCCGCATCCAAATCAGGTTTCGAATTTGCCTACAAAATAGTTGAGTATTTATTCGTCTTTTTCTTCAAATTGTTAATTTCACGTATATCT